TACATCAATAACAACAATTAATATACCAACATCCCTTACATCAATAGGATATGGATGCTTTTATGAATGTTCATCATTAACAACAATTAATATACCATCATCAATTAATGAAATAGCATATAAATGTTTTTATAAATGTTCATCATTACAAACAATTAATATACCAACAAGTATTAGTAAAATAGGATATGGATGTTTTTATGAATGTTTATCATTAACAACAATTAATATACCAACATCAATTAATGAAATAGGATATGGATGTTTTTGTAAATGTACATCATTACAATCAATTAATATACCAACATCAATTAATGAAATAGGAGATTATTGTTTTAAAGAATGTACATCATTACAAACAATTAATATACCAACATCAATTACATCAATAGGAAATCAATGTTTTTATGGATGTTCATCATTAACAACAATTTATATACCAACAAGTATTAGTAAAATAGGATATGGATGTTTTTGTAAATGTTCATCAATAACAACAATTAATATACCAACATCAATTACATCAATAGGAAATTATTGTTTTAAAGAATGTTCATCATTAACAACAATTAATATACCTTCATCAATTAAATACATAGGAAATAATTTTTTTAAAGGATGTACATCATTACAAACAATTAATATACCATCATCAATTAATGAAATAGGAGATTATTGTTTTAATGAATGTACATCAATAACAACAATTAATATACCTTCATCAATTACTAAATTAGGAAATGGATGTTTTTATAAATGTTCATCAATAACAACAATTAATATACCAACATCAATTAATGAAATAGGAAATGGATGTTTTTGTAAATGTACATCATTACAATCAATTAATATACCAACATCAATTAATGAAATAGGAGATTATTGTTTTAAAGAATGTACATCATTAACAACAATTAATATACCTTCATCAATTACATCAATAGGAAATCAATGTTTTTATGGATGTTCATCAATAACAACAATTAATATACCAACATCAATTAATGAAATAGGATATGGATGTTTTTGTAAATGTACATCATTAACAACAATTAATATACCAACATCAATTACATCAATAGGAAAAGAATGTTTTAGTGAATGTTCATCATTACAAACAATTGATATACCAACATCAATTAATGAAATAGGAGATTATTGTTTTAAAGAATGTACATCATTAACAACAATTAATATACCTTCATCAATTACATCAATAGGAAATCAATGTTTTTATGGATGTTCATCAATAACAACAATTAATATACCAACATCAATTAATGAAATAGGATATGGATGTTTTTGTAAATGTACATCATTAACAACAATTAATATACCAACATCAATTACATCAATAGGAAAAGAATGTTTTAGTGAATGTTCATCATTACAAACAATTGATATACCAACAAGTGTTATTGAAATAGGAAATTGTTGTTTTTATAAATGTTCATCAATAACAACAATTAATATACCAACATCAATTAAAACAATAGGACATTGGTGTTTTAAAGAATGTACATCATTACAAACAATTAATATACCAACATCAATTACATCAATAGGAAATGATTGTTTTTATGAATGTTCATCATTAACAACAATTTATATACCAACAAGTATTAGTAAAATAGGATATGGTTGTTTTGAATGTTGTTCATCATTACAAACAATTAATATACCAACATCAATTACATCAATAGGAAATTATTGTTTTTATAAATGTTTATCGTTAAAATCAATTAATATACCATCATCAATTACATCATTTGGATGGGGATGTTTTTATAAATGTGGATGTGAAGAAGAATTAATGAAAAATGAAAGAATACCAATAGATTGTTTTGATAGAGGGTGGTGAATGAAATAAAAATATAATAAATGAAATACAATATAATTTGAAGTAGAAATAAATTATAATTGATTATCATTTATATTATTATTCTTTTCTTATT